TGACGTAGAACCTGGAAGCGCTGGACGTAAACAACGTATGAGAATGACACAGAAGAGAAGAGGTTGTTGAATAAAGTCGTTATTTTTGTTTTGTTTTTGCACACAAAAAGTATTCTCGTCGCTTCATAAAATTATTGTAGAACCACTGTAGTCACGTCGACTGTTTTAACGGCGTCTTTAGTACCTTTATGGATCTTGAGAGTTTGGGTGGCGTTGCTGTCAATGGAGGCCTCTCTGAGCCATCGGATTTGATCAGAAATATCTTAATTTGTGTTCCGAAGATGAACGAAGGTCTTAGGGGTGTGGAACAACATGAGGGTGAGTACCGTATTGACCCGAATATAAGACTATGTTTTTTTCTTGGAAATACATCTGAAAAAACGCGGTTGTCTTATATTCAGGGTCTAGACTTTGACATGTCAATAATACACCCACAACAATAGGTGGCGCCAAATACGCATAAAACGAGTGTGCCATGATATACATAATGTAATCATAGACTGTGGAATGTAATGCGTGTTGTAAAGATCGCGAGTAAAAACAAAAGAAAAAGAAAAGCTTACGGCTGCATGAGTCGTGACTGTCACGTTAGCCTGATGGGACCAAACTCCCTTTGTGATTTTAAAACGTAAGACAGTACCCAGATTTGAAGATTACAGTAAGATTTAACTTCTACTGTTCATAAGATTTTGGTAGGCTACTATTAGATGGATAGCCTAAATGTCCTAATTCAGATGGGCTACCTGTTTTTTTTTTTTTTATGGTATATCAAAAAGTGTTTATTTTTTAAATGTGATTGTTGGTACATTTTACCAGTTTTTACCATACTTTCAAAACAAAAATTAAAATAGGAAAAATATGCAATATGAAAATAATTGAAGACCAAATGTGTTTTACTGAGAAAAAACAAGATTTGTTTTTTAAAAAGCCTTTTCCCAAAAGGTACATCTGGAAAAAGGGGGGTCGTCTTATAATTAGGGTCGTCTTATATTCGGGCCAATACTAATAATAATGAAAATATGCACAAGGCAGATCACTCAGTGAGTGATCTCTCTTTCACACACACACACACACACACACACACACATGTCTGGTTTGCTATCCTTGTGGGGACTCTCCATAGGCGTAATGGTTTTTCTACTGTTCAGACCGTATTTTCTAGTGCCCTACACCAACCCTACCCCTAAACCCCTCACAGGACACTTTCTGCATTTTTAGATTTTCATTCTGTGTGATTTATTAGCTTGTTTACCCGTGGTGACCTCAATTTAGGTCCCCACCCACACACACACACACACACACACACACACACAAAAATGAACCTGCAAAGAGTGACATGAATGAACGACCAATTAAGATGGTGTCTTTACCGTTTACTGAATGTGTATTGATCCAATTTGTGAGTCTCAGACTGTGTCAAAACAACTCATTAGTAGCTCTATCTCACCTCGTAATTTATTAAGAGATGTGAGACCTGTGCTCTATAACCTTTCAAGCTTTGGCCTTGGCCTGTTATTTGCTCTTAAAGCCCAGTGTCAGATCTTCTAAGATTGCTCTGATGGAGAAAGGGCTTGTGGTCTAATGAATTCCTAATAGAGTAAGTAATTAGCTCTCTGGTTCATCTTGTTTTAATATGGCATTTGATGTGAATACTTTGAATGTTGCGGTTGGATGTGTTGGTTCCAAATTAGTTATACTTAAACTCTTTTATCTTTTATTTTTAGAACTGTAGAAAAGGTGAAACGTCTGTGTCGGAAGTTTTGTTATAGATAGGTCACATCATGTATTGTGCAAACAAGGAAAATCTCTCAGGTTCCAACTAAAACTCAGTGAATATGAAAAACGGAAGAAAAGGCAGTTTTCACTTTCTCGTGTGTCACAGTTGTGATTCCTGGCACAATGTTCTGACAATTTTTCAGTAACACTTGTCCCTCCTTATTACATGCACTTACTATTGTAATAACATTATGAATAATTCCATGCAACTAACCCTAAACCAAATCCTGATCCTAGCCCTAACCCTATAGTAAGTAATTAATATTACTCAGTAGTACTTAAATCTATAATTACACTGTAACAAGGACACTATGCATCATGTTACTGATGTTTGTGAATAGTCAAGATATTTCACAGTGCTTTCAAACTCTCATAATAAAGGAAACCCACTTTTTCCATTTACCTAATTTCAAAGAAAAGACCACAAATTCTGTAATTTGTTGACAACGTAAAAGTTCCAATTTGTCACATGGCTATGATGTCATAACAGCTCTGCCTCTCATTGCTGCAAGTGACAGGTCAATGACAGGTGAATTTTATATTTGAAATGGATGGCGCTGATCTGATTGCACAGCGGTGATGTTAATGTCCTCTCAGTTCCAGGGTCCTGTGAGAAATAAGAGATGGAAAATGATTGGATAAAGTATTTGGTTCGAGTTGTGCGGTTGTTAGGGCAATGACCTTGTTAGCATAGAGACAGGTTTTATTTTACAGATAAAATAGAGTCAACAATTACAGACACTTGACGTTAAAGACAATTGTATATTCGTACATAATTTTACATAGATTTTCCATGTGGAAGCCTGGTTGATTACTAGCATAAAACATATTTTCCCCCTAGACTCTCTCTGATTGGCTAGCTGTTGTAACTGAGGGCAGATCGGCCAGTTTACTGGCCAATAAAAATAGCTGTGAACTCGATGTCATCACTGAATAAATCACTCTGAATCTGAAATGGCACAAGAAAGTATTCCCACAATTCAAAGCAGTACGGCTGCACACTCGTGTAGAACCAGTAAAACAGAATTCCCTAAATAGACTAAATAACACATATTTATGCTGAACTGATCCAATTACATGTGAAAATCTGACCACAGATTGCTTTAGAAATTTAAAAGAGATATTTAAAAACAAAACCGAAAGTCTTTTGGGTAAATTCAGGAGATATCGTCCCTGCTGGGAAGCAAAAAGCCACAATGAAGCATATGAGAGCCTTGAAACATTTGGTGGAACTGCCCTGTAACATGAATTGCGAGTGTGATCATCTTATAGCGTGCAGAATGAACTCATCTGCGTTCCTGCCATTCTGAGGCACCAACACCATCTGACTCCAGCGGAGTAAATTATCGCTGTTGGAGCATGTGACACAACAGCTTTGTAACCACATCTCCCCT